ATGCACACATACACATAAACATACGCTCATATTATACAAACACAGTCATAATTTATGCACTATATATGAGCTCACATTTACTCATACATAAACACTTCACATACACACAAATACACTCACACATAATACACACACACACACACACACACACACACACATACACACACACGCACACACACATGCACGCACACAAATACACACACACACACACGCGCACAAACACACACACAGGTGCATATACACGTACACACACACTCACTCACACATTCACACACACACACACACACACACACACACACACACACACACACACACACACACACACACGACGAGGGGAGAAGCAGTTTCCTATGGTAAGCCAACTTTTTCAACTAGGAAGACTTAGCTTTTAACTAAATGTTCCATCGATTCCCTCAATCCATCTTGAAATAGGCGTAAAATCAATATTTTATGACTTATGAATTCATTCATACCATACCATAGAAGGGAAAAGGGACTCAGAACTGGCTGCACAATGATTTTTTTCTTCGTCCTAGCTTTTCCAGAGTTGGCCATACCCCCGGGGGCAGTGCCACTGATTGAAGTGTCTTTAGGCCATTCCCAAAGGGGGGACATACTCGTTCAAGCATAGTAGAATTGTAAATGGGCTGACTCATGTCACGCTCATAACTGTGCCTGATCTGCAACAGGGAACTGCTGCTTTTTCTTTCCTGATCCTTATTATTGTCATTTTCCTCTACTTCTTTTGAATGTTTGTCACTCCCTTGTGACCTGCAATTTTGGGGTGCCTTGATAGTCGAAGCAGACCTTGTGCTGTTGAAGCTAGAGAGGTGAGCAGTCTAAGTCTGATTCCCTGTAAAGACTTCTCTGTTGACTTCCACCCCTTGGCGCTCACATGACCGTATGCAGTTGCGAGCGCCGTAAAACCCTCTACTATGAAAAAAAAAGAGTTGGGCATGTCTGTAATAAACCAGGTTGTCCTTCGCCGACTATGGTTCTTTTTTATACCAGGCCAGTTCACATTTCTATGTACATAATATGTGAGGCATCGAGCTGAAATCAGCCACCTGTCAAGATAATGAAACCGAAGAAAATGACATTTTTTAAAAACTCGTTGATCAATGTTCATCGTTTATTTTCCAAAGAACCTTTAGCGGTCAATTAAATACGTAATATTGCCTTGCGGATTTTATTGAAACGTAAAAAACAAAAATACTTGTCTTACTTGTCCACTGTGTTGGGGTCACTGCAGTCGGAACATGTCCATCTCTGCTCTCCCCCCCCCCCCCCCCTCTTCAGGATCTATCCCAGAATCTGTCTACTTATAGTCTCCTTCACGATCTGGTTGGAGATCCGTCGGACTGGTCCGCACAGATGGCTGTGTTTCTCCTCTCCTCTATGGATCCCCTTCTCCTTCAATCTCCCTAGAGTGTGGGAACCGCTATCCGCCCTATTCTTCCTCAAATGTTCCCTTACAGCGGTTAGGACGGTTGGTGGGTCCAGTGTCAAAGACTCAAAAATGTAAATTTACAGTTTGCAAGGACACTCAAGCTTAAGGAGTCACCACCACATTTTGGCAGGCATTTTCTCGCAATTTTTTAAGGTTTAAACGAGTGACCCACACCTCTTTCATTCTCAAATAATGCCTTTTTCTGTTCAAGATAGATGGGTACTTTTCATTTAAAAGAACAACAAATAAGCTTTAAAATCATACTAATAACTCCAGACACCCAAAACATTGATGAGCGCATAGTTCGACGGTGAAGTAACACAATTATTATCTTCTCAAGGGCAATTTGGTAATAACACATTTTTCCTTATTGCAATTCTGCACTCCAGAGTTTTCTTTTCAGACCAGATTTCTATGTACAGACCATTGGTGAACTCTTAAGACATAACAAAATTGTGAAGTTTGTTTAAAATCGCAATGTCTAAATCTGGTATTGGGTGCATTGCTCAAAAAATATTGGTAGAAATTCAAACTATTCTAAATGTTGTAAAAATGCAAAAAAACATTATTATGTAGATGCAGTTGTTAACATGAATGAAAGTCTTTTCTTTCTCCGGTAGTTTTGTTTATTTCTGGGCTTTTTTATTTAATAGCTTGCCATGTCATCTGATCAATGTAAGTTGTAACAGTCTTGGCCTGACTCTACCTTTTAGGTCTGCTGATCGGAAATCAGACCTGTGATTCTTTATTTATGTTGTTGATGTAAAGATTTTACCACCAAAATTAACATCATCTAAATTATTAGGAGGCGGGCTGTTTCCACTTGACCTGCCTAGGCTCCGAGGGACGCAATTTATCAGACCCACGACTATGGTGAATCGGTTAGATGCATTGCCTTACTTCCACTCAGAAGACCTGAGTTCGATTCCCCTGTGGGGGATCGTTTTTTGATTGAGTAAATCGGTCTTTATGCTGGGAATTTGTATCTCTTTTAGCCAGGGTTCCCCTGGTAGGCACAGTCGAAGCTGATCTTTTAAGTCATCTAAATTACGTTGATGGGGGCGTAATACAGACAGTAAAAAGAAACACCAAAAGCAGTGTAAACGCAGATAGATGAAGGTACTTGATAACGTGTCTATCCAACGAAGGACTAGATCTCAAATGATCTTATTGCGTGCAGGCGGATTATTTTTTCCAGTGCATTACCAACTATATTATTTTTATATCTTCTACAAACAGTCACGATGGAGATGTAACCCCCTCCCCTCCC